CCTTTTTCTTCTTCCTCTTCTTAAAGAATACCTTTCAGCATTTCATATAATGCTGGTTTGGTGGTGATGAACTCCTTTAGCTTTTTCTTATCTGTGAAGCTCTTTATCTGACCTTCAATTCTGAATGATAGCTTTGCTGGATAAAGTAATCTTGGTTGTAGGTTCTTGCTATTCATCACTTTGAATATTTCTTGCCACTGTCTTCTGGCCTGCATGGTTTCTGTTGAGAAATCAGCTGACAGTCGTATGGGTACTCCCTTGTAGGTAACTGACTTTTTTTCTCTTGCTGCATTTAAGATTCTCTCTTTGTCTTTTGCTCTTGGCATTTTAATTATGATGTGTCTTGGTGTGGTCCTCTTTGGATTCCTTTTGTTTGGGGTTCTCTGCGCTTCCTGGACTTGGAAGTCTATTTCTTTCACCAGGTAGGGGAAGTTTTCTGTCATTATTTCTTCAAATAGGTTTTCAATATCTTGCCCTCTCTCATCTTCTGGTACCCCTATAATTCTGATGTTGGTACGCTTGAAGTTGTCCCAGAGGCTCCTTACACTATCTTCGTATTTTTGGATTCTTTTTTCATTTTGCTTTTCCGGTTGGGTGTTTTTTGCTTCTTCGTATTTCAAATCTTTGACTTGATTCTTGCGATCCTCTGGTCTGCTGTTGGGAGTCTGTATAATATTCTTTATTTCAGTCAGTGTATGCTTAATTTCTAGTTGGTCCTTTATCACAACATCGAGGGTCTCATTAGATTTATTGAGGATCTCACTACATTTATCGAGGATCTCACTACTTTTATCGGCGGTTTCCATAAAATTCTTGAAAAATCTTAGAACCGTGGTTTTGAACTCTATATCCAGTCGTTTGCTTTCCTCCATTTCTGTCATTTGTGACCTGTTTCTTTGTCTTCGCATTTTGTCTGCTTCCCTGTGTTGGTAGAGTGGTTTTGTGTGCTAGGTGTCCTACAGGGCCCAGTGGCTCAGCCTCCCCAGTTACCTGAGGTGGACACTCTTGGTGCACCCCCTTGTGGGCTTTGTGCACAGTCTTGTTGTAGTTATGCCTTGGTTGTTTTAGGTGTCACTGGGAGGAATTGACCTCCAGGCCAATTGGCAGTGAGAATCAGCTCTGTCTGCAGTGGGAGAACTTCTGTCCTGAAGACACCCTTCTGGGGCAAGACTTGCTTCAGTGGGGCTTTGGTGCTCACTGAGTCTGCCCCCTGAGTGTGTTCCTTATGAATTTGAGGAGTTGTAATCTGGGTGGTCCCACTCTGACCACTGGATACACTGGCTCTTGGATCTAAGGAGGTGCTAATTAAGCCTCTTCCTGAGGTTACCCAGCAGGAGCTACGAAGAGATATGCAGATTCCCCTTCCTTTTTTGGGGTTTGGGGTGCCCAGATGAGGCCCTAGCTGAGAAGCAATGCAAGTTGCTGTGGGGCCTTGGGCTCTTCTCTTGGAAGTTCTGGGTCTGTCTGGCCCAGCTGCAATTTGTTAGGTAAATTGTCAGTTTGCAAAGGACTCGGGCATTCATATGCAAAAGGCTTTGCAGCAGCCTGGAAAGGGCGGGGGTCTCGGAATCAACAGGGCGGAGCAAGCAGCTATGGCTGATTCTCAGCCCTGCCCTAAGGGGCCTCGCGTCTCAGTGTCCTGGTAATTGCTGCCAGCACCTCTGAGGGAAAGCCGTCCTCAAGTTCCGAGTTCTGCCTGCTGCCAGACAGTCCAGTTTCTCCCCGTATGAGTCCTGGGACCCCAGAGATTTCCCGGAACCGGAGTTCAGAGCAGTCGGGAGCTTGTGACTCCCTCCCGATTCAAAAAGACAGCCGCGTCCTCAGGTGCCCGCCCCTTTCCTCGCGCGCCGGAGCCTCTGTACCTCTGCACTTCACTTTCGTAGTTCCTCTGAGTCTGTGTGCTCTTCTCTTTCCTTCTAGTTGTAGAGTTTCCACTCAGCCAGCCTTCCTGTGGTTCTGGATGATGACCGTTCTCCCTTTTAGTTGTATTTTTGAAGTTGTTGTCGGAGGCAGCAATTTCCGGTGTTTTTCTATGCCGCCATCTTGGTTCATCTCCTCAAATAAGTTTTAAATTCATTTTTCTCTCTCTTCTCCTTCAGACATTCCCATGATGAGAATGCTGGTACACTTGAAGTTGTCCCAGAGGTTTTTTATTTTTCTTCATTTAAAAATAATTATTGTTTCTATTTGCTATTCTGATCAGGTGTTTTCTGCTTCCTTATCTTCCAAATCTCTGATTTGATCCACTGCTTTATGTACTCTACTGTTGATTCCCTGTAATACATTATTCATATCTGACTCATTCTTTTTAATGTTTCCTAAGTCCATTTTTATGTTTCCTATTTCTTTGTTGAAGTTCTCACTAAATTCATCTACCTTTCATCCCCTTAGTTCATCCCCTAAGTTCATTGAGCATCCTTACAACCAGTGTTTTAAACTCTGTATTTAGTAGATTGCTTGTCTCTATTTTGTTTAGTTCTTTTTCTAGAGTTTTGTTCTCTTCTTTCATTTGGGACATGTTTCTTTGTCTTCTTATTTTGGTGGCCTGCCTGGGTTTGTTCCTATATATTAGGTGGAGCTGCTATGTCTCCCAGGCTTGGTAGAGTGGCCTTATGTATTAGGTGTCCTGTAGGGCCCAATGGCACAGCCCCCCCCCCCCCCACAAGCTGGAAAATCAAAGCACAGCCTCTTGGGGGCTCTATACACCCTCCTTTTGTTGTTGAGCCTCTATTGCTGTTGGTATGTCAATGGGAGGGCTTTATCCCCAGGCCAAATGGCAGCAAGGGCTGGCTGTACCTCCATGAAAGATCAGCTGTGCAGAGGCTGACCCCATGGAGCAGGATTTACTTCAGTGGGGCTCTGGTGCCCTTGAGTGTGTCATTTGTGGAAGTGGTTGCATGGTGCTTCAACATGGTCTGAAGCTGTTCAGTGGGTGCACTAGCTCTGGGGCCTAGGGGACTTATAGGCAAAGGTCAGCAGCTGCCTGTGTTCTACCCCAGGCCACCAAGCATGAGCTACAAAATGATCTGCAGATGGTTGCTACTTGTGCTGGGCTTGGAGATGCCCAGAAGAGGCCAAGCTGTGAAGCAAGGCCAGCTGCCACTAGTTCCTGGCCAGGGGCCTCTTAGAGAGAGGTATGGGGCACATAGAGGCCAGATGCTGCTTGTTTGAGAGATTTTAGGAAAGTCTGAGGCATGAGCCATGACAGGCCATTAATATGGAAAAGCCACTGGAAACAGTTTAGGTGGGCCCACAAGTTGGTGGATTCGAGTCTCAAGGAATTACCAGGGTAGGGCAAAACAGTGTGAGCCAGGTGGATGGGGACTCAGATATGGCACCGCCTGCTGGCTCTGTGGAGGAAGAGCTCTGAAGAGGAACAATGGCCTCTGTCAGCACTTCTGTCTGGAAGAAAGCTGCCCCTTCATCTCTTGCCCTGGTGCCTAACAATTCAATCCTTCCCCATATGTCTCTGGTGCTTTTTGAGATGCTGCCCCAGAGCTGAATCTCAGAAAAATGAGTTTGAGTAAGTCTGTGCACAGGCCCTTAAAGAGGAACTCCTGGGATTCCAGCAGCCTCTGTTTCACCCATCCATAATTGCCACTGGTTTTTATAGCCAGAAGTTATGAGGACCTCTCTTCCTGGCACTAGAACCTTGAGCTGGAGGGCCTGATGTGAGGCTGACACCCCTGGCTCCTCATCAGGGACCTCTGCAGCTGAGATATCCTTCCCAATTTTTATCCACCACATGTGGGTGTGGGACCAGTCTATTCCACGCCTCTGCCCCTCATCCCAGTTTCAATGTGGCTTCTTCTTTATATCCTTAGTTGTAGGACTTCTGTTCAGGAGGATTTCAGGCAGTTCTGAATGATGGTTGTCCTGTAGTTTAGTCGTAATTTTGATGTGGCTATGGGAGGACGTGAGTACCACATTTACCTATGCCACCATCTTGACCAGAAGCCCAGATAAGGTTTTGTTCAGTTACAGTTTGACAAGACCCTAGGATTTCTTTCAGGGTGATGATTTTTTGGGGGAAAGACAAAGTGATAGTTTTTCATCTGCACTTTCATTTTCTGATCACAGTGTTTTAGAAGAATCTGGGCTTTACTTATTCACCGGGCTTTCAATAGAGAATCACATTAATCCTTTTAAGCTCCTTATTCTAATGATTTATTTTGTTGAAAACCATAGTGATCCTCCTTTGAATTTTAATGATTGCTGCCTATTCAAAGATTCATTGTTTTGACTTCCTGTCCTTACCTTTGTTTCCTACATGTCTGTGGGGAACACCTGTCTAATACTGGATCTGCCCCTGGTTCTCACTGGCTTACCAGAGTCACTCAAGCCTAACTCTGAGTGTTAAGCTGAAATGCTGGCTACTCATCCATGACACTAAATGTAGGATATATGTTTGCAGAGATGGGCAGATAGACAGCAGAGGGACAGATAAATGATTGAGCCACTTCCCAGTGAACAGTATATTTTGGATATGATAGTGAATTATTATTATAAATTCATTAAATTAGTGTTCTTAATCATAAATCTATTGGGATGTAGTATCCATGGAAAATCTAGTAGATGAGAAAGGGGTTTGAATTTTGAGGGTACTGCTCTTAACCAAAATTCTGGACCATGTAACCTTCAAATGGCACTGACCCACCATTCCTGAGCCTGTTAAATATGCTGGTGCTCTTTTTCAAGGTAGTAGTCATTTCGTTCAAGTGCTGCAAATCTTCAGGAAGGGTGAGCAAATGGAAATCGCCATGATAATATGTCTCAGGTATGAACATCGAAATTACATGTTTCAAAATCTAAGAAGTGGCTATGTCACAAGCTTGAGTTCCTCTTTTACCCACTGTGTAACCACAGAGAGAATTCTTTCCTGCTCTTTTTATAGGTATCACCCAGGAACATCATGGATTTTCAAGAATATATTATTCTAATACAAGATTTTAACAACTACTCTGTATTTATGCATAATACATGTTGTGTCTTATCTTCAGGCTTCTGGACTTTGATTCAGAATATCAGGAGCTCTGGGATTGGCTGATTGACATGGAGTCCCTCGTGATGGACAGCCACGACCTGATGATGTCAGAGGAGCAGCAGCAGCACCTTTACAAGGTTAGCGCTCTCTTCTTGCTTTTACCTTGCTGGGGAAGATCTGATTAGCCTGACAAGTCTCTCTCTCTCAGGATATCTTTGCGTTCATTGTATGTATCATGGTGTCTATTAGAATTCTCTTCCCTGTCCCCAAACTCATTTCAATCCCTTGTGTGCTGACAGGCTGCACCGACATCATAATTGCAGGAAAGTTCCCTTTATCACATTCTATTTGGTGTAATTCTATAGAAGGACAAAGATTTATCTTCAGGATGAATAACAATAAATGAAACTGCATTAATAAATAGACTGAAACAAAATGAAGGGTAAATGGACTGCTCACATTTAACAAAATGTGTTTTGATTGGAGCACTCAGGTAGATTCTATCCACCCCTCAGATCTTCCCAGAGGGGAAAAATGTGCCTTTAGTTTGGCTTGCTGCTTTCAGGGTGCAGGGCATGTCCAATTTAATGTTTGTTAGTGATACATAGAGCAGACGTTGTCATATTAAGTCAATACATTTGCGTGTGATTTAAGAAAACTGGCTTGGAACTCACATATTGATTGCGGCAATCCATCTAATAACTATCTATATTGTTTTCCATGTCTGCTAATTCACCCTTAGCCTAGTGTGTTTTACCAATTCCACTTAAATGGTCTTAGACGTTCTTACAAAACAACCCTGTGATTTTGACTGAAGAAATGGTTGCAAGATTCACGGTGTCTGAAAAGCTGTTGGGGAGGGTAGAGGGACTTTCCACGGAAATATCAGACTGTAGTAAATCTTCCTCATTTAGGCAATTTTTATTGGAGTAATTCTGACAGTTGTCATCCTTGAATTGCTTTGAGCATATGGCATATTTCAAAGAGCAGATTGTGAATCATAAAAAATAAAATTAATAACTAACCACAGAATCAGCAACAGTATAATGACAAGAAACAACTACCCTCTAGCTTTTTAAAATTTCTTATAGAATAAGAAGTACATTCAAGGTCAAATAAAAGTTGTCTTCTTTCTTCTTCAATCTTTATCATTTGAAATTACCTTTATTTAATGTATTATTTTAACTTTTTTCTCTTCTAAAGATAAATATTTATTTGTATTTTTTGAGGGCCTGGCCCACTCCACTTTAACGTCCCCTGGGAATCATCTTGGTTAAGAGAAGATATAGCTTCTCAGGGACTCAGCAAATGATGATATTTTACTCCCTGAAGAATTCTGTCCAACATTAATAGAGTTTGTAGACTATCAGCTATTTCCTGTATGGATAGCTGTCCACATTAACAACAAAACTACCCAATATATCTTCTGGCATAACATATTATTAAAATAACAATCTTGACCTAGTAAGCCAAAGCTAGATAATATTATATTTTATGTCAAGATCAAAAATTACATATGAAAAATGCCTATAAACCTATGTTAATTTGTGATGCAAAAATATTTGTTTTATTCCGAAGGCTTAAGATTAAAAATCGAGTCAAACAGGAAAAGATAATATAAAAGTTACCTAATCGTGAGCTGTTATCTCATATTTTATTACACTCATGCTGCCAAATAACATTTTTTTTCTTCCTGATGCATTTCGTATTTTGCACATAAACCACTATTTATTTCAGAAACAGTGCTATTCTTTGTCAAAATCACATCCATATAATTTACATCACAATTAATAGGAAATCACTGAACAAAAAGTGCAGTCTTCTTTTTCTTGTGGTTTCCTTCTAAGTGTTCTGCCTGAGAATTCTCATTTTGGCATATTGAAGGCCATTGTTCCACCCACTCAGTACTTCTGGGTTGTAGTATTTTTCCAAACGTTTTCCTATTGGGGTTCTTTATTTGTGACTCGTGTCTTGTCATAATTTTTTTTTTTTTTGCATTTTAGGTGTTCAACATATCTAAGTTTATGAGGCTAGCACTAATTTTGCATTTGGCTTATAAGCAATATTAAAGGTTGAATTGGAAATCAAGGGCAAATGATACAGGTTTGTGGAGTTTCTCTGTATAGATTCCAAAGGTTTGGAAACTTGCAAAGCAACCTGAGGATATTAACTAAGGACTCATTTAGAACTTGGGGTGGCTTCTGCATTAGAAAAACTGATGAAGGAGAATTAATTTCAGGTCTTTGCCAAGAATTCCCACTTCAATGTCCCATCCCTCTGTTCTATCTGCTTTTTCAGGAATCAACTGAACTGAAGCCTCAGGGGAGGGGGATGGAGCCTGTTGCTCAGAGAGACTCCTGAAAGCGCAAAGCTTTCAATTGGTCCCCAGGGCTTTCGAGGCTTTCAGTACTGTTGAGACTACCTTAGTCATTTCAATCTTTGGATTTGTTGGCCCTGAAAGATGCCAGTCTTTTATTATTATTTCTCATCAAGGGAACTATTGGCATTTTGGACAAAACAAGTTTTTGTTAGTTTGTGGGATTTCTCTTTTGCTACTGGACATTTACTCTTTAGCTTCCCCATCATTGTGGCAACTCAACAGGCCACCCAACCCATTTCACAGCATTTCCAATCCATCTCAAACCTATCTACAGCATCTTCATTTCTTAAAACAATGCTATAACACCAAGAACAAGACCTTGCACTTGTATTCTCTATGTTGTTAAGTAAAGCACCTTATACAGTTATTGAGCTAACGGTATTGAGTTAATAAATTAAGGATGGGAATGAAGTTTATGACTCCTGATATTATATTATGGCAAAGAATGAGGGTGAAACTTTTAAGGGAGACTTTCAGCTGAGTGTTGGTAGAATCTCAGGAACTAAGATTAGGCAGAATCATTATTCCTTTTATCATAGAATTTGAAACCTTTATTTTCCTCTCTCTAAGGGGCTTTCTTTTTTTTTATTGCTTAAAGCATTACAAAGGGTATTACATATGTGTCCTTTTTTTTCCCCCGCCCTTGACAATACCCCGGCTTCCCCTACCCCCCAGTGTCTTATGTCCTAAGGGGCTTTCTATATTTCATCACTCAACTCCTTACCTGGCAAAGATAGTCATGCCCAAACACAATTTATGCATTGTACCATCCAGGTTGATCCCCAAAGTCCACATTTAGAAATGTTGGGTTTGAGAAAATATCATAAGATGGTGCTCAGTGAAAGTGAATATTTTTAGGCACTACCTTCTTAACTTTAGGCACTAACTTTCTGGCTTGACCTACTTGTTTTATATTCTGGTCTCTGCTGGAAAACCATCTGACCTTAACTCCTAGGCATGGAACTGCAAATAAATACCCTGACTATTCATTCAGCAGACCTCCTGAGTGGGGCACCTGCTATGATATCTTGGTTACCCTAAACAAGCAAACTATCCAAGGAATTCATGCAGGAAAAGAATTAGATTTAACCAGCAAAGATCACATTCATGCAACCTGACATAATTTAGAACCTTAATATCACAATGGGCTCTAAAGTGGATTTTTTGTTTAAACCAATTTTGTTAGTTTCAGATTGTGAGAAATTTAGGACCATTTTCTTTCTAATTAATTTTAAACTGCAGGGTCCTAAGAGCAACCTGGTTCTTAATAAAAACTAGTCAGTCTCTTAAATATACTTCCCTTTTCAGAGACAGTGAGCCATACTCCCAGTATCTTTCCTTCCCCTTTTCTATCTTGTCCAACCTCTGAATTGGGACCTTCTGGACCTATTTTTAATAAACATTGGCAGCATTGGTAGCCTGGGAAACACAAGTGTAGTTTTTTCTCCTTTTTTTTCTTTCCTTGATATGAAAATCATCTCCAAGGAGAATTTGCTCCTGCTCCCTCGCTTTCCTTCTCTTCATTCCTCCTACCTTTTTAAGTAGGACAATTTAATTTGTCAAAAGTAACCACCGTGATTTTGAAAGTTCAGCTCCTATTTGTACTAGAGTTACGAAGCCAGAATTCATAATCACAGGGAGCTGTCACTCTACTGGTCTTTATGTGCATTAACTATTAATGGAGCAATATTTAAAACCCACTTGCAAAAGAAAAGCTCCGTGTGGTGTTTTTTTTTTCATTTCTACAGATCAAAGGTGGCATTATTCTTGGGCTCGGGGAAGCTCAAGACACTTCCTCCCCGTCCTGTACATGTCATAGGCGGAGGGGCCTGGAAGCATTTCCTTAGACTGCTGCTGCCACGCTGCCCTCCTGGCCGACACGCAGACTCTGGCGGCTGGGAAGGCTGCCCCGTCAGGGCTCCTCACCTGCCGCAAAGCACTGCCCGTCTCTGTCACCTACCAGCATAGATGACAATGCCCCTAGCCATCTGGGTGGGTGTGGGGTTCCAGAGTCCAAGAATTAATTTCAAGGGCCAAATTTAGAAGTTGCAGTCTGCTGGTTATTGTTCTAAATGAACAAGAGCTGTTTTCAGACAGTATGAAGCTCACTGACATAACATATTTATGGATTTGTTTCTTGAGTGAATGGTTTAGCTCTTCCTCATGAATGAAATATTGGGTTATAGGATTTTTTAAGGGGTTAAAAAGAACCCTTTCAGCTTAAAAATAATATAAAATTAGTAGCCACCTTAACTAATAATACCTGTATACTTTCAAGGAACTTACACTGAGGATTTTATATTTAATTTTGAGAGTTAGTTATCCATATAATTCTGTTTTCATGGGGAAAATGCAAATATCCTTTATCTTTCTCCATTGATATCAGTATTATACAAATATGTCCTGTGTATAAAAGGAAAAGAACTACTCATTTCGCATAATACAATGCTCTCTATAGATTACTTACATATTTACACTGCTGTGAATTTGAGGTTGTTTATGAGAATTCACAGGAAAATAATACAAATACTTTAAAGTGTAAATATAAATTAAAACTGGGGAAAATACACAGAGGTTAGAGTCTGTTTCTGTGAGAAGAGTTAACATGTAGGCACATACACTGTAAGGTTCTACATAGTTACTAAAGATAACCTCAACGTTTTATTCTGGCTTTTCCAGTAGTGAAAACAAAGAGGGAAATGTGCTTAATTGCAAAATTTTCATTTTCCAAAGGAAAAATCACATGCCTCTGAAGAA